TTAGTCTCCTTGTAGTGGCCAAAGATTTCCTGAGTGTATTATTTCAATTCAGATGTTTCCCAGAGAACAGCGTAGTAGAGGAAAGGAAATGGCAAAAAAAAACTTTAATTTATCATTCTTAAAGTAGTGGAGCAATGAAAAGGGGCAATGTAAAGTGGAAGTACTGATGACATATGAGGATAAAACTACTGTGCTGACCAGGTTGCTAGCTCATCATATTTAATTCCTTGTCAAAGCTTTATTTCTTACCAAGAGCCAGTTAAGCACAGCCAAAGGGTGAGGCCACATGAAGCTGGTTCAGAGACAGAGAAGAGGGATTCACTACACAGAAATTTTGTGGTTCAGAGAGAAAAGGAAGCCTGTAAAGTTAGGTGGCAACCAGACAAAGGAAATTTTCATCTGTAAGAAGTAAAGAATTAAGGGCAAGTTTTTAGCAGAAGGAAGAAACTAGTGATAAGGTATATTATTGATCCAAGTGAAATTTAGGAATGGGAAAATGTTGGGGTATTTCTAGCTGAAAAGATTCAGTGAAAACTGATTAATGGGTCAAGGACACAATGGTTGAAACCCAAGCCATGATGATGAGAGGACAGAAGTACCATGGGTAGAAAAGTGTGAAAAACAGATTTGGAAGAGTGAAGAAAGCTAAAGGGCAGGGAGATAAAAGCTTTGATCAGTATATGCTGCAGGCATGTGTGGACAAATCATATTAATCCTATTAATGTATACAATTAACACATTAATTAAAAATAACTTTAAATGTTTGGCAAAGCAATTAAGGATAAAGAACTAAAGCTTAATAAATAACATGGTCACAGAAAGAAAGGGGAAGGACCTCAAGACCATGAGGGCTGAAATTTTAAGGAACAGCAGAGATCTTATGGTGGTTAGTCCAGACAGTGAAGGTCAGAGCGCTTAAAATTAATCGGATTTAACAGGTGGAAGACGGTCTGTGGGAAAATCAGCAGAGGAAACAGACTGCACCTGTTAGCTTCCGGTCGGGCACATGGGGACGATCAAAAGCTTTCCAAGTGCATATAACCTGACACTGCCATTGTGTTTCCTGATA